AAAAAATATTTGTTCATCATGTATTATATTAGAGAATACATGGATACTTTTTTTTAATGGTTCACGGGGAGGGGCCCCGCCCCGAAACTAGAGACGGGGCGCCCCTCCTCGCCCAGCCAACCTGTTCGGGGTGGTTTTTTTCGCCCCATTCAAGGCAAGGCAGGGCGGGGCGGGGCATACATATGTCGGGTGATTATTTGATGTATGAGTCGATATATCAAATAATCACCTGTCATGTGTATGCCACGTAGAACAACTGGTGTAGTGAGCGATAACGAATAACATTATTTTAAATATTATATCGCTTATTGATCAATAAAATTATTCTTTTGGAATATTGAGTTCATAGAAACTAATGCCTTAATTCATTGGTGAAAAAAAAAATGTGAAACACATTAGTGTATACATTAATATATCATTTACATTAAATTTTACTTAATTAATGTAACCCTAGTCGTATTTTACATTTAAATTTTATTTCTATTAAGTTTAACAAGTTGGGTTTAGTATCCCTGTCCATATCCCTAACTGTACCAGCGGTGACAGTTAGGCCAGCATGATGTATTGCATCACATATTAGCTCATTGTTAAGTTGCAATCAAGGGCCAATTTGATAAATTAAAAAAATAAAAAGTTAATGAAATGTGTGGTTAAAAAAATGTTATTGAAATTGAAATTTGATTAGTTAAAAAGATGAATAAAGTTTTATCAATACTTTCTAATATCATTATCGTGATAAGATTAGCATCTAATACACGGACATGATGTACACTCTCTATAAAATATTAAATTCTTAAGTCGGCTTTCTGTAAAATACTCGTTTAGTCTATAATTTTCAAACTTTTATAAGAGGAAGAAAAACTTGTGCAAATGAACAATCCCCGACTTTTGTCGATTATTTATTACTTTATGTTCCGGTGTTTACGTGGTACATAATACAAGATTTTTTTTTTATTTTTAAGTTGAGAAAACGTAATACAAATTTTATTTGATGAAAAACAAATATTTAAAAAGGAAATTATGGTTGTACGCCATGCCATACAATATGGTGTACAATTCCCACATGTGAGGGAACCCACCGTGAATAAAAAATTCGTGGGCCCCCTCAATGTGAGGAGACTGTACACCATGCTGTACAAGCATGATGTACATATAACAGTTCTCTATTTAAAATATGTGGGCTTTAATAACGTAAACAAGTTTACTTACTCAAAAGTAAACCCTAATTAAGAAGAGCATGTGAAAGTGGTTAAGGAACAATGACATGATAAGTTGACAATATGTTTAGTCTATGACATCTCATGAAGACTAAAATACTTCATTAGTACCAACTAAACTCAAATGAAAATTTATGATTTACTTTCAAAACAAATAATTTTTTTCTATTGAAGAATTAAAAAAAAAGTAATTATGATCTAAACATATTTAAAAATAAGTTTTTTTAGAAGTAAACTTAACAAAGATATATGTACCTAAGCATAAAAAAGTTTATATGCATACAAATAATGAAGTTAAAATTTTAAAACACTTTTCTCAACAAATGTCACTAATGGAAATGACAAATGAAGGATAATGATGAAAAGATAACGATTCCGATAATGAAGAACCTTTAGCCGAACGCTAAACAACAATTCATTAGTAAATTCAACCAATCGAATTTTAGTAAATTCAACAATTGATTAGTGAATCGATCAACATAATCGAGTAAAAGTTGTGACCCATAAATGACTAGGTTGTGAAAACATTGAACCTTGATAAGATTCTGTCATGAAATCCACTGTTACTTTTTATGTTCATAATCAGTAACATACATCATTATAATTAAGTGGTGGTTAAGCCATGATTAATATTTCTGAACAAACAATATTTTGTTTCCAATGTGAAGCCCTGAAAATGACACATTCACATTCAGGATTTTGATTGATTTGCAGAATCTGGAAATGATCTCAAAATGCATTCACATGTAGACTAAAGAATTCAAGAAAACAGTGCATGGAAGTGCAAGATTTCCCTCAACTTGGCTCTCCTTTTTNAAGATTTCCCTCAACTTGGCTCTCCTTTTTTCCCAAAGGGCCCAAACTATAGCTCTCAAGTTTCAACTCTTAAAAATGGGCCCCCCATATGAAGAAAGTTCAATGCCTTTTGATCATGGGATAAGTTGCTACAAATACTTGTCGGAAAAAATGGATAATTTGTGTGTAGATTAATTATAAATTGATATAATCAATTAAACATCATAAGTATAAGAAGAGATTTAGAAAACAAGTGTTCGAGAGTCCGAGTCGCGTCAAGCTACACGGCTCCAAAATAAAATCCATGTGGCTTGCAGCCTTACAGTCTTGCTCCTTCTATTGGCACGACCACGGAAAGGTAAAAAACGAATCTTTATCGAATTGCCAAAACTATAAAAAGTAATATATATGAGTGTAGAGAATATTCTATTAAGTTATCTTTTTCATGTTATGTTTAACCCATGAAAATCACTCCCTTTTTATAGGGAGAAATTAAACCACCACAATTAATAAAAAATATGAGTTACTATCATATTATCGCATTTAGGGATGGCAAGGGCTAGACAAATAGACACCCGAACTTAGTTGAATCATTTGACGAGCCAAGCTCGGCTCGTGCTTACAAACTAAGTTATGTTTGACCCATTGACTTGTGGACCTCATCAGTTGAGTCGAGCTGGGCGACCCACGAGCCCAAAACGAGTCGGCTTATGGGACAAGGCCCCTGAATTTGCTCATGAAAAAAGGTGTCCGACTCAGTCCATAACTCGCTTTAAAATGAGCCTGAAATGCCCGTGGATCGGGCCAAGTCCAAGAACTGTTCTGCCCTTTTGCACACCTAATTACACATGTTAGTAGTTGACAGCTAAATAGTACGATTAGACAAAAAAAAGTATAAAATTTCATATATTGTACTCTCCTATTACTCGTAAAAAGGAGTTCTATGTTTCTAAAATTTCTTGAAGAAACACGGCCACAATTCATTTTCTGAGTGCGAACTGGGGAGGGAGGTACACATCCTTGAACCGTTGGCCTCGGTAGAAACAACAATTCGTAACCAATTGGGTGAAGAAAAATTCGTAGCATATTTTGTTCATTTACAGTATGGATCAAGAATACACCAATGCAAATGAAAATGAACCTAACGCCAGCCTAGTTGAGTCCATAATGAAAGCCCCGTTTGTTAAATATATGGGCCTAGAATTGGGCCAAATGTATAGGCTACGCCCAAGTTCAGGATCTGCCCAATAGTTATAACGGTCGAAAAATGAAGCCACCCGGTTTTCCGTTGCGCCGCTCATTCACTCTTTTGAGATTCTTTCAAAACAAAAATCCATCTCCTTCTTCTGATCATTCACAAATTATCATTTTCTCGTTTTTTTCCTTGCCGCCTTGGGGAGGAATTTTCGGCATTAATTTTCTTCCTCTGTTTCTCAAGCCCTTTTTGCAAATCTTCAACCAGGTACCATTTTTTGAGGTTAATTCAAATTTTTTTTTTCTGTTTTCAATTTTCATGAAAATCTATGGGCATTCATTTTAGTTATTGAGATCAGTTTTTTGTTTTGTTTTTGTTGATGTTATAGGTTAACTATACACGGCATTGCATTGGAAGTGTGTTGATTTTGTGGGCATTGAAACTTTTGAAAAAGAATTTTTGTAACCCTATTTTTTTGTTATTTATCATTTCTATTACTATGTGATTCTTTATTTTAGAAGTATTGCTTGTTTAATTTCTAAATCTTGACTGTTTCCATATTGTACGAGCAAAATTCAAAACATGATTGTGCACGTTGACTGTTTAATCTTGATTTTGCATTCATTATGCATTTTAATTTTCTAGAAATTATTTGTCCTTTTTCAAGTGATGCAGTTGAATTTCTGTTCCATTCCAATCTTCAAGGGACGCTTGTTTTAGAAGGGAATTCGATATAGTTAGTTACTCAACTCCCTACCGAATTTTGTAAAAATGTTTGGCTTTATGAAATCACCTGCAAATAAGCTTCCTACACAAAAATCAGTTGACCCTTCAAACCCTTTCGATTCTGATACATCAGATAAGAAAAACACTATTACTGCTTCAAGAAGAACTTCTTCAGAACCAATAGTTCCAGATTTAAAATCTAACAATTTTGATGATGGCGATGATTATTTTGGGAGAGGTCCACCTTCTAAAAACAAACAAAAGAAGGATCTTGAAACCATGTCTGCTCAAGAATTAGAGAGTTATGCTGTGAACCAGGCCGAGGAGACCACTAAATCTGTGAACAACTGCGTGAAGGTTGCAGAGGATATTAGACAGGATGCCACTCGGACCCTTGATACCTTGCATCAACAGGGTGAGCAAATCCACAGGACCCACGAGATGGCTGTAGATATGGACCGAGACTTGAGCCGGGTACACTCACTTACAGCTGATCTTGTATTTAAACTTTTTGTTGCAAAAATATCAGCTTTATGTCATGACACATGAGAGGACTACCCCCAGGTCTCTATGCATTCAAAATGAAATGTGTAACATTCTTCGAAGATCAAAGTGTGAATTTGACTTCCAGAACACCAATTAGATTCCCAACTAATAGTAAAATATTATGATCTATATACCAGATTAATAATCTTCTTGTAAATTATTTTATGAAATTTGATTCTTGAAAGTTGATCCATTTGAGCACTACATTATTAAACCATCTATATTGAGATAATTCTGGTTGTTTCCAATATAGGTTTTTTCTCTACTTTATTAAGATAGTGGACCTTGTCCTAATTATATGAGACGGGACACCACCCTGCACTAGTTATATTGTGACTAGATGCTTGTTGTTCCTTTATGGCATGTTTGGCATGCATGAATGGACATCATTAAGAATAAATGGGAAACTAAAATGTGTCTATTTGTCTTGTCTAAAACATTCCAGTCAAGCCTAGCAAACATATGCTTACTGTTCTTATTTAGCACTTGTTTGATTTTTATCTTTTCAAAATCAATTTTCTTAAACTCATTTTTAACCGCACATTCTCCTAATAAAATAATTTTGTACGTGTATCCTAACTTTTCACTACTTTTTAACTATACATTTTCCAAAAAAAAAAAATCACTTGTCACTTTTCAAAAAATCTAAATCAAACAAGCGCTTAATCTCATTATGTATTCCTTCATTTTTGTAGTAGCTTTCTCTAGTGACAATCAGCATATGTTTTGGTTTTAGGGAGAGAAATTATTGAATAATCTTGGGGGCATGTTTTCCAAGACTTGGAAACCGAAGAAGATACAGAACATCACAGGACCGCTAACTTCAAAAGGTATTTTGTGCTTCCCCTTTTATTGTCCTAATAGCTTTATAAATGAGATTAACAGTTAATTGAAACTTAGTATATAGATAATGCATTTGCTTAATAAATTGGTTCCTTGTTTGGAGATGTCATATCTGATGAGTGTGTGCATTTGACAGATGATAATGACAAAGGAAAGCGAGCTAGCAAAGAGCAACGGGAAAAGTTAGGTTTGGCTCCTGTCCATAAAGGTTCTCGTACACCTCCTCCCCAACCAACAAATGCCATGCAACAAGTTGAGGTATGTGTTTGTTGTATAACATAGTATGACAGCAATAATGCAATAACATAGTATGACAGCAATAATGCAATATACTACGTCCATTGTCTAGTTTTATCGTGATTATTAACATGGATTTGATACCAGTTTGAGAAGGCAAAGCAAGATGATGCCCTTTCAGACCTCAGCAATATATTGGGTGACTTGAAGGGTATGGCTTTCGACATGGGATCTGAACTTGATAGGTAACTTATTCTTTTTAATCGTAAGGTTGCAAGTTCACATTTTGTCATTAGACCATATCTGGACAGTCTTTATCTTCCTTAATGGCCTGTTTATCTCTCACTGAGGTCACTAGCTTAATTTCTTTTTTTTGCTTTTCCTTATTGATGGATTGTGTCTTATAATAACTCTGCATGAAACAGGCAAAACAAGGCCTTTGATCACCTTTCAGATGATGTTGATGAACTAAATTCTCGAGTAAAAGGTGCCAATCAACGTGCTCGTAAACTGGTTGCGAAGTAAGAGAACTTGGTTTGAATGCGAGTAGCTTATATTCTTTGTTTCTTTGCTTTCTTTTTGTTAATAATACAATAAATACCGGACCTCAAAACTGTGTTCATCCAGATTCCAGAGTAATTGTTTTGTTAACTTTCAGGGCAATTCTTACATGTCCAACTTCTTGTAATTTGCAAAAATAACAGAATTTTGATCAACATGTAGTTGCACAGTTAATTTGCAGAATTTTGTAGTATTCTCAGCAAATTGTACTAATTTTTTTGTATAGAATTTGTATAGTCTTTAGCACAACTTCTATTTTAGCTCGTCTCATAGAGAAGATTGGATAGCAATGTACAGTACGAAATATACGGTTAAATTGTTGATCATTTGAAACCAACACAAATGATCTTCTATCCATTATTGAATTATCAAAAATTGTAGGTTTGACCGTCCACCGTAAATGGGAAATCATTTCTATTGAAACCAAATAGAAAGAATAAAACCAAGAAAACAGATCCCTACCCCGACCCCACGCTTAATTCTTGCATGCATAATTGTTCCATAGCCTACAAGTCAATACAAAATCAAATTACATTAGAACCCCCTCCCCCTCCCCATCCCAACCGCTCTACACCCCAAAATTTTAACCATTGCTCTATTTGTTTTTATGGGTAATTATCACACCATACTTTTTCTTAAATATACTACATTTTAATTGCGATGAAGATTATCAATTTTTTTTTCATTTCTATACTTGTCTCCCAACTTTTTTCGTAGCATTTATATCTTCAACATTTATAAATTAGCACATATTGTCATTGATAATAATTTCATTAAAAAAAACACACACACTAATAGGAGGGCTTAACAAAGACTATAATATAAAAGTTCTACAAAAAAAATTTCACCCGTTTCAAAGTATGTTAACAAAATATTTGAATAGAAACCACCGTCAAAGTCGAGATGTATTAGGGGCATAAATGCAAATGTAAATAAAGATTATGAATTTTCATTACAATTAAAATGTGATAACAATATAATTAGCTGTTTGAATATACGCATGATTTAGTGAAAGATTGTGATTGGTGGAACTGTAAATTTCAAGATTGTGATTGGTGGAACAGTAAATTTCTTGGGGTGCCTCGTTTCCTTTTGTTATTATTATCAAGATTTTCATCAAAATTTTCTTGAGTGTGTGTGTATATATATATCTATAACTTCCACCACCAGACAAATCTCTCCCTACTCTCTCCCTCGCGCACAATGAAGATCTCTCTCTCTGTTCTTCTCATTCTGATCACTCTATTTTCCGTTTCTGATGCCCAGAGCCACCATCACGACCGGCAGCAGGTGGTGCGCTACCCAATATCCGCTCAAACCCTGCCGCACATCCGTTTTCAACTCCAAAGAATCCGCCGCTGCCCACCATTCCTGCCGCCACCTCCATCTCCGGATGATTACGAAATTGATCCAAGATATGGTGTCGAGAAAAGATTAGTCCCTTCTGGCCCTAACCTTCTTCATAACTGAATTCTACAACCTTCACTTCATCATTGCCATGTTTTTTATCTCACCTCCTTGATCATTTTTTTAATTTTCTTGAACGTCATTCAGGTACTAGGCAATAACGAAACCATTTTTCATGATCTTTCGTATTATCTTTGGTAGGGTGTGTCGACCATTGTACCGTCCACTACAATCTAATATGAACGACTGAAGTCAGTTATTTGTTGGTTTACATGCAGAAATATCTATTTCCAAGCTTGTTCTTGGATTTGCATGAGAATGGGTCAACGATTTAAGCAGAGTGAAAGCAGCAAAAACAACCCTGCAGTATTTCCTAGTTATTTTGTTTAGGGTTCAAATTCTAAGAGAGGTGAAGTTTCAAGAAAAACCATTCAATGTCTTGGTTTAATGGGGGAAATAGTCTATTCAAGTGCTTTGTATCGTGTAGTGATATATAGGATAGTGTATATATGGTTTTCCTTTGGAGTAATGATATTCATCATCGCTGATAACATTATTCTATCATTTATTGTTGAATATGTGAATTATATTTCTCTCGTTCTCCTTTTTGCTTTTCTCTTCGACAACTTGCATTGATGGAAGTATCGTTAAATGAAATGTACATTAAATAAATTATATAATTTCACATTTAATTGAATATATTACATAATGCTGATGCTCTAACACTATTAATACTATTTGCCCTGTTTGGTAAAATTCTTAATCTAAATTTATTTAAGTCAAAATCAACAATTTTTTTAACCATACATTTATAAGAATCCATAACTTTTCAATCACATATTTCATCAGCTTTTATCAAAATCAATTTTTTAAAAGATTTTAATAAAAGTTGATAAAATGCATAATAGAAAATTGTGAATTTCATTAAATAAACTTTTTAAGCTACGCCAAACATGGATTAAAGCACTTTCAACTATTTGCAATCCAACGAGAAGTTGCATACTATTTTAGTATTCATACTGACGATTTTGATCACGTGAAGATGAAGATTTCACAAATATAAATAAGTTAAAGAACTAAAATTTCACTTTTAAAAATTGATTACTCAAAATCTAAATTAATAATTAATTTTAATTACATATTTTTATGAATCAATAATTTTTTAATTACACATTTTATAAATATTTATCAAAATTTGAAAAAAGAAAAAAGAAAAAATTCTAATTTATTAAACAAGGATAATATATCAGAGACGAAAAACCACCGACGAAAACAGGCCCTTTTCACACGACGTCTCTCCCTCTCTCTAATCTCTACATAACCCGTCCATCGGAGGGGAAATAATCAAATGGCGACTCGTCTCCGGCAAATTTCTTCAGCATTTTATCTTTTCCTCTTGCTTCATTGCCTCCTAATTGTCGCCGTTAACTGCAAGACTCTCAAACGAGACGGTAAATTTCCTTATTGATTCCTTTTGTCAATTTCATTCAACCTTTTTACGATTGGGTGTAGTGTTAAACTTCCTACATTCCTGCAAAAATTGAGCTGATCTGACTCAAAATTATTTATATTATTTGAATTAGATTTATTTCAAGGTAATTGGTGATCACGAATCTGCTAATCCGCTTTGTAGTTATTAATTTACTGTGATCGAATTGTTTGGATCGACATTTGTTACTGTACATTAGTAAAATATTAAGTTGCGTTGCTAAAACTTGATGAGTATATAAGAACTTTATTTTAATGGAGTGAAGTGTTGTTTAGTTAGTTACTCTTAAACTGAGCTGATCCCAATCAATATTATAGTGGAATTGGATTTATTTCAAGGTAAATGGTGAGAGTGAGTCTGCTTTTTACTAGCGTTTTTACCGTGATTGAATTGTTTGGATTGACGTTTATCACAGTACATATATGTTTTATTAGTAAATAATTTAAGCTTGCAGTGCTAAAACGCGATGACTGTTGATGTTCAAAGCATATTCGCAAGTTATTTATGTGAAGTGAATTATTCTTTATTTAGTTTCTTGTAAATTAATGCAGCTGAAGCTTTAATCTTCGACGTTAACTGCAAGACCTTAAATTTCCTGATTTATTCCTTTTGTGAATTACATTTACCCTTTTTAATATTGTATAATATTCACTTTTTGATCTGAATCAATTTTATTTCTATTTATTGGAATTTGATTTGTTTCATGGTAAATGTTGATCATGACTACGCTTTTGCACTATATCATACACTGTGATTGAATTCTTTGGACTGAGTTTTTTCTGTACATGATATTATATTAGTAAAAGTTTAACACGGTGGTGCTAAAACTTGATGATTATTAATGTATGAAGTATATTTGTACTTTATTCAGTGGAGTGAATTATTGTGTTATTTAGTTTCATGAGCATAAATTACTAGGTTTTGATGCAACATATTGTGCTGTTGATCTTGTACTTCCCTCTGGCCAAAGAGAGGAAAAAAGACTAATATAAAGTGTTGGGATTTGTTGTGGACTAAATTTAGTGCCACCCTTAATTTATTTTTCAGTTTCATTACTGGAACTGAGAGTATCTAAGTAGTGGGTTACGTTATTTGAACTGAAAAATAGAGAAATTGTGGAGCGGTGCTATATGGGTTTGTGTGCTTGTTAATTTGTGACACGTGTTTGTATGCTGATTAAATTTTGTTTGTGTTATTAATCTCAGTTAAAGCATTAAATGAAATAAAAGCATCACTGGGATGGAGAGTGGTATATGCTTGGGTTGGTGATGATCCTTGTGGAGATGGTGATTTGCCCCCATGGTCTGGTGTCACATGTACCACTGTGAGTGGTGGCGACTATAGAGTTGTTACGGAATTGTGAGTTTCTTGTCACTCTGTATTTTATCTTATAATTGTTGTGAAATATTAGAGTCATCTAATATTTGGAACTTCATGAATTCTGCATTCACTTTTTTTCCTAATTTCATTTCCATTTATCTTGCAGGGAAGTTTATGCAGTCTCTATTGTCGGTCCTTTCCCACTTGCGGTTACCAATCTGGTTGATCTTACTAGGCTGTATGGTCCTTTATTTTTTGCTTATATGAGATTTTCTTTCTCACTTTGAAATTTTATATATGAGAAAGTTGGAATAGTGTAGAATGACTCCATTGAAAACACTTGATTTAAGATAATCGTGAACTCTTAATGTGTACAATAAGAAACGGGCTTTTCCCTTATAATCATGTCATCAGGGGCAAACTCTATTCCAATTGTCTATGCATCTTCTATTTTTCATCCCCTTTCAAGTGTATGAAATCTTTATTGTTATTCCTTATGGCAGGGATCTACACAATAACAAACTCACCGGGCCAATTCCACCTCAAATTGGGCGGTTGAAGCATCTTAAGATACTGTACGGCCTTTTACTTTCTCATATATTGACAATGACCTTGTACTTTATGTTTTTTATACATGTTGTATGTCAAGGATTCATTTCTCAGATTTTCTTTCAATTTCGAGATAGAAAGCAAGTTCTTCTAGGTTCGAAGACACTTCAAATAAGTTAGATGCATATAACATGTTATTCCGAGGTGGATCATATGGGAATAAGTGCTCACATGAACTGCATAATTTTACTGCACACAAAAACTTAAGTCCTTACTAGTATTTATGATCTCTATAATGAAGGTAAAGTTGATACTCAGATGCTGATGCATTAGCTCATTTTGTTTTTGAATAACTTTAATGCAAGTCAAACATATTTGGTATGTTTTATATAACTTTTTGATCAATACGAGTATTGGATGTATGCAAAGACCTTGTCACGTACTTGGTAGTGTCCATGCTTTTGGCGTAATGAAAGCCCTAGCTTTTTTGCTTCTTAAACAACTACATGTACATTATTACGAATTCTTCCTCTTCCCCTGAACTGAGGAAGGGAAATATGCGTGATGATATGGATGATCCCTCATTATCTCTGTTCTCAATAATTTTTTAAGCAAATAAGATGTCTTGCTAAGTTGTTTCTTTAGCTCAATTTATGTTATTGTCATCCCATTCCAAATATATTTCAGCCAAATTTTTCCATTAGGAAAACAGTATGTAAAAACTGAAAGAAAATCATTATTTTTCTTGGTGAAACAGTATATTCCAGTTAAGTTAATCTACGTTACCTTCAGTTTGCTTGAATAATATCATTGATTTCAGCTCCATTATTACGTATTTTTAGTAATAACACCATCTGTTATTCTGGAAAAGTCCAAAGTGTGAAATAATTCGGTCCCTAAATTTAAAACTAAGATTGTCATTTGAAATTTAATCTTACACATTCAGATTCTGCCTATATTTATTCTGTATAAATTTTGTAGCTTTCTGAATTTATTTATTTATTTATTTTCTTACATTTTATTTCCTCTCAGTAATTTGAGGTGGAATAAGCTGCAAGATTCCATTCCTCCAGAAATTGGTGAACTAAAGCAGTTAACCCATCTGTGAGTGATATTGCAATTTTGAGAATATCTAGTTCTTCCAAAAACCATCATTGTTTCAAACTTTATTCTGCCAAATTAACTGGCTCTTGTTTGAAACCTCTGCAGTTATTTGAGTTTTAATAGCTTCAAAGGTGAAATCCCAAAGGAGCTTGCAAATCTTCCTGAACTTCGTTATCTCCAACTTCATGAAAATCGGCTGACTGGGAGAATTCCTCCTGAATTGGGAACTTTGCCAAACCTGCGGCACTTGTAACATTTTCTTTCAACTGTGTATTTGTGTGCTATTTGTCAACTTCCTCAGATTAGCTGATTAAGTTTCAATGTATTTCTAGGGATGTTGGTAACAACCATTTGGTTGGGACAATAAGGGAACTCATACGTATCGAGGGATGCTTCCCAGCTCTTCGTAACCTGTATGCTAATTTAACTTGGCAGTTGGCAGTAATTTGATTGACTGTTTTATCTCTGTGCTAACTCCATTAATTAAGTGCTAACTCCATTAATTAAGGACTAACTTTGAGGATTTCCATTGTTTATAATTTTCAGATATCTTAATAACAACTATCTAACTGGAGGTATTCCAGCACAGCTTGCAAATTTGGCAAAATTGGAGATCTTGTAAGTTCCTGTATTTACGGGGAATTTTGGGCTGTTTATTGGTTGCTGAATCCGTTGGTTTTTTGCAATATGTTAATTGCTTGTCTTTATTGTAGATATCTATCTGGAAACAAAATGTCTGGAATCATACCATCTGGTCTTGCTCATATACCTCAATTGACTTATTTGTAAGTGGGCTTTTCTCGACTCCTTTCTTATTTAATTGATGTTACCGGATGTCATTTTTCAGCTTTGGAGGTAGTTGCAATATTTCTTTAAAATGATAAAAAAGCCTTGGCATCTGATGATCAGATTTAATGAATGATCTAAGTTAATCACATGGTGAACAACCAGGATACGATATGAAACTGCTCAGAATGATATAAGCTTACACTCTATCTTTGTACTGGTAGTTGATAAGGAATATTTAGTGTCAAGTTTCAACATAGGTTTTCCTTTAGGTTGTGGTACTGCTGTTAAGATCATAGCAACTGACTTCAACGTTAACAAATGGGTTTGCTCAGGATTTTGTTGAACGCATTTTCCAATAGTATCAAAAGATGTGATTCACTATTATGATCTGACTCCATAAGAGCTTATTATTGCTCTGTATGTGTGTGTTTTCCTCTTTTTAACCACCTGTGTCAGCTTTAAACCTGTTTCTAGAGGCCATAGCTTACAAGGGATAATTGGGATAACTTAGTGACCTTATGGTTTTAGTAATAATGAGAGGGTGGCCTTATGACAACAACGACAAAGTAATTTGCCTACACGTTTTTCTTTTAAGAAAGTTGAGGTCTTTTGAGAGTTTTCACATTTGGTTATGTTTATAGTAAAATTCAGATATAGAATTTTGCTTTATGAAAGATTAAAGTGGTTCCTGAATAACCGTACAAAGAGGCCTGCAGATCCTTTGATGTTTAGGTGTTCACGAGAAATTCTTTTTCCTGAAGATTACAATTATAGATAAATCTTAAGGGTTAAAACGTCGTGTGCTGATAAGCGCTAGTGAGATTTGAGGCTGAAGCAAAGTTGTGTGAGAGCGAGGCTCTCTTCACTTGAGATTCTCCGTTAGTCAACATTGCTTGGTCCTTTTTCTATCTCACGCAGACTGGGAATTTCCTCACGCTTCATGTTGTAGGCTTCTTAACTTCCTAAGGAATCCTATCATTAAGCCACAAGGGACGGTGTAGAATGGGAAATGAATATATCCCTTGTTTGAGCCCCATTTTTGGGCAAAAAATGCATTTTTAAATAGTGTTTTGTTGGAGATTGTGTGGTTAAAAAGTAAGGAAAATTTTTCGGTTTACGGGTAATATTATTTCACAAGAGAATGTGTGGTTGAAAATGAGTTTTGAAAAAAATGGGTTCAAACATAGGCTTATTGTAAATGCTTAACTTGGAGATCATTTTCAGTGACCCAAACTATTTTTCTAATTCAGGTATCTGGATCACAATCAATTTTCCGGTAGAATTCCTGATGCCATCTACAAGCACCCATTCTTAAAGGAAATGTGAGTTTAGCTTCAGCAATTCCTACTTAATTTCTACAACAGTCTCTCAGGTAACTCATTTGATTTTCATCTCAGGTACATCGAAGGAAATTCATTCCGGCCAGGCGTCAACCCAATTGGTTTCCACAAAGTCCTAGAACTTTCAGACTCGGACTTTGTAGTTTAGACAAGATTCAAGAGGATAAACTCGAGTTTGATTAGTAGTTTTTTTTCGAAAGGATCCAGCTACCACATCCTAAGGTTATGCTCGCATTCCCCGTTGCTCATTAGAAGCGATGATGAGCTACTAGGATCATAAGTTGTGTGTGCTGTAGATAAATATATGCTTCACATAGAAATTTGCTTTATTATTATTTATTTACTGTCTATTTATTATTTTACTGCTGGACTTAACCATTGGTGAACACTATTGTTTCACCCCCATTTTTGACAGTGAAAATGGGTGAGAAAGATTGGAATTGAACTGGGCAGAATCCATATGATCAACGGAATAGCCATGATTAACTCGTGTAGCATATGTTAAATATGCACTCCCTAAATGATAAGTGGATGTGATGCTCTAGATGCGTAACATTCTCATAATCTTCGTCGAAGTAATCGATGCATAGCTTCTTACGAAAATAAGACAACAAACAATTAACGTAATTTTGCACAAAAACAATTTTTTGTACATCATGATTTACAGAATAATGATATGGAAGAGAGGGAATGTGGAAAAAACAGAGAAGGAAAAAAAGAGTAATGTTATTTATAGTCGCGACCGCAGAGTCATATTATGTAGCAGTTTATTATTTGTGGTATTATCTTGTTATTTGAAGCAATAAAATTATAGAAAATTAATGCATCAAATAACAAGTTATCACATTATATGACAACTATGGTATGAATGTCATTATTCAAAATAATAATAAGTTAGTTAGAAATTGGTTAATACTGAGGCGGAGTATCATGCAATGGCATTCACAACCACTGAGATTATGTGGTTACACTAACTACTTGCGACATTGGTGTCCATTCTTCCTCTTCAACTTCTATGTATTGTGATAATAAAAGTGTTATTTAATTCTCTCAGAACTTTGCGTTTTATGAGCTCATGGAGCATATTTAGATTTAATATCATCAGATTCGTCACCATCTATAGATTGGCACCATTTCCTTACATTTTGCTTTTTTATCGTTGCAGTTTGCTGACTTCTTCGGTATGTTTCATCAGTTCATCATTTTCGATTCTTGCTTGACAAACTTTCGCTGCTTCATGTCGTAGCAACGTGAGTTTGAGGGGGAAGTTAGCATAATATTAATTAATGTTATTAACTAGGGATAGTTTTGTAGTTTCATCCCTTCTTGTAGTATATAAATTCGTTGTATTCCCTAGGGATGGCAATTCGAACTATTAAAATCGAAAACCGCGGTTAATCGAATCGAATGGGGCGAAAAAAACGAATCAATGGTGCAATGGGGCGGTTATGGTATTGATTTTAATGAAACGTTTTATCTAGGGACAGGTATGGTATTTAGCGATGGTGCACCGCCCCAAACCGATTACCCGTTAAAAAAAATTTAATTGGACTTTCCATCATTATTTTCCAAAATTAATTGGACAATTCTGACAATTGGACTTCCCAAAATTCTAACCCAATTAACATTAAGTAAACTAATAATGAATAACCTAACACTATTTATAGTTTTTAACCCAGCCCACTGCCGAGATAGTCCAATTTAAATATACAACCTACACGTTAAAAATTAAAATCATGTCCTGTGACTCTCGTCGTAACCCTACAGTCTCTACTTCTCTTCCACTCAAATTCGTCGCCGCTCTGCCTCAGCTCGCCCTCACCATCACCGCTCGCCATTGAGAAGGTAACGATTAAGAATTGACGGACTATCTTTCCTTAACTGCTTCTCGCTGCACTTAGATAACATGAGATGTTTCTTCTTTCTATGGGAACAGCTTTGAGAAGCGACAAGGAAAATCCTGCCCTCTTTCTCGAAGAAGGATCCTTACATCCCTCACAAGGAAAATCCTGTCATCTTTCCCATAAGTGTCGATTTCTTCCTCCCTAGTTTCGGGGTAATTATGAGTGTTTTTGATGATTCTGATGTTTAGTTTTTGGAATTGTACATGTTTGAGATCTTGGGATTTATTTAATTTAGCAGTATTTCTATTGAATCTGCAATGGTTAATGAATAAGAATTTATGAAGTTTGGTTTTCAATTAACATTGGTAGTTTAATGATTAATTTTGGTTTTTTCTCCGGTTACCCAATTCCAGTCAATTTTGAGTATTCATGATGCATCCGAGCTTTATTTTTCACAATTTATCATGTTTAAAATCTTGGGATACGTTTGATTTAGTAATCTTTCAGTTGAATCTGTAACGGGCATTACATAAATATTGATAAATATATGTTTATGAATAACATTGATAGCCTTATGATTACTTTTGATTTCTCTCTAGTTTCTCTCCAATTTCAGATCAATTTAAGTTTTCAAGGTGATTCAGGTGTCTAGTTTTTTTTTTTAATGGAACATGTTTGAGATCTTGGAATTTATTTGATTAAGCATGATTTTTGTTGAAGTTGAACATGTGGTGTGCATTGAAGAATGACCTATTAAGATTTGTTTTTCAACCAGATTGAATATATCCATGTTGATTTTGTCTTTCTTTTATTTTTTTAATGGCCAAGATTACATGAAATCCCAAATTCTCCAGCCTTCTGCTGCTTTCAGGAGGTGACTGTGGATTCTGATCAGATAAAACTTTCGAACTCAAACTACTGGCTCTACATATGTTCGATTGATGTGTTTTATTTTTCAGATGTCTTGACATGTTTTTTTATTTTTATTGACTTTTCTTCATTTTTTTTTTCAATTTGACGGTTCGAGTTTGGATTTATAAAAAATAATTTATTTTCGTGGTTATTAACCGAACCGAACCGAGATATTAACCGAGCCGAACAGAATTGACTTTCGTGGTTATGGTGCGGTTATGGTATGGTCAAAAATTTGGTGGTGCGGTTATGGTTTTGGCCGAACTGACCCCAAATCAAACCGTTGTCATCCCTAATATTTCCATAACTCACACTAACTTTGGCGGCTCATAAAAATCATATTAATTTATATTATTATCAAATACAATCCACGTCATTATATACATCCATGATTCACAAACCCTTCTGTAACTTTTAGGAACATATAAGTCCATTTTTTATATTTAAAAAATCGGTCATGAATACAAAACTAACAAATTTTGGCCATTTTCCAAAATGGGACGTGAAAAAGGGGAGATGTTGTCCGATTACGACAAGAGAGAGACTTTTATACATGAATTACTTGCATCACTGGATTGATATGACAGTATAAAAGTCGAGAAGAAGATGTTGAAAATTGAAGTATTAAGTATCGCTAGATCCTTTGGAGCATTTTACAGAAAGCAGCTCACACTGTTAGTCAATTTTAGCTAAGCATGTTTGAGCCACATATTCTCCCAAGAATACATTGTAAATAGTGTTTTGATGAAAAATATATAGTTAAAAAATAAAAATCGATTTACGTATAATATTATTTTATTGAAGAATATGTGGTTGAAAAGAAGGGAGAAAAATATATTTTAGAAGAATGAATATCAAACATGGTGTAAATGTTCAGAACATCTTACGTATGTTTGATTGAATATATGTCATGTCAACACGATGAAGTTTTTGGAAAGGTTCAATGAATTTACTTCAAGATTTGAACATCATTTTGTTGAAAGTAAAATTTGTTTAGAGACGAACATATTGAATTACAGATATATCAATTATATTTATGGACAGATATGTGGATATTTACCATCCTAAAAAGTAGTGTTATTTGTACATCATTGTGAACACATAGATTACTCGACCCATCTATTTGGACACCGTTGTGTACATAATGATATACAAATAGCATTATTAATCATTTTAAGCATATGAATAAATGGATGTAAAAAAAAAAAAAATCATATTAGATTTGTAAATAAAAATAAATTTAATTTAATTTAATTATTACACTACTAAGTGGGATCAGAATTTTAGCCAAATTTTCTTCTTTCTTTTTTTTTATTATTATCCATACTTTCCCTTTATTTTCTTTCTTTTGACAATAAATTCAATATAGATAAACATTCTGACCATATTATGAAGGATAGATTTGTCCCTATCGGCTCCTTAGATTAATAGCCGTGCAAGACTGAGAAAGAGAAACAAGGAGAGGTCGGATATATTTTGAATTGACAAACTAAAAGAGTATGGCAATTCAATTGTGGGACGAATGACTTTTGTTTGTGCTTTTTGTAGAAGAACTTTTGAGAAAGCCAATTTAGACAAATTACTTTCAAAACAAATACATTCAAAGGCGGTTTTCTAATTTCAAAAGTAACTTTTGACTTTTCAAAACTACTGTCAATCAAACGGACACTTTCTTGAGCATAGTGTTGTTCATCAATGCTCGTGCACTGATTGACAAAAAGGGATTGTAATATGGAAATTGAAGTCCTAATTGTCGTTTGATATGCAAATCTCAATGTCGTGGTTCATAGTGAAAATGAGATTGTAATATGGGAATGGAAGTTGTAGTTCAATTTATCAGATATCAAAATTCTACTTAAAACTCTATTTTTCAGTAGTCCATATGTGTTAAAACTCTAGAAGCATTCTGTTAAAACGTCGATTGATTTATTATAAGAAAATCCCCAAACGGATAAAGAGTTTTTCGAGGATAATAAGGAAGTTGTAAAGATTTGTCCTTATCAATCTCTTCTTGAAACTTGCATTCCAATGTGGGTTCAAACTCTTTATCATTATAAAAGCAATTTATTTTTACTACCTTTTCATTTATTCTAGATCTAAACAAAGATCAAAACAATGGGTTCAAGGGGTATATTTTTCTGTGTTCTTCTGTCATTGTTTTGCTTGTCTTTTGCAGCAGATCAAGTGAAGGTTACAGTAAAAGGTGTGACCTCCATAGCAAGAACAGAGGATAATTTCATATGTGCAACATTGGATTGGTGGCCTTCAAATAAGTGTGATTATAATCAGTGCCCATGGGGAAGAGCAGGCATTCCTTATCTTGTATGTATATATCAAGAAATTATGTTTTTTTGTTATTAAAGAAGGAATATTAATCAACTTTAATTTTTTTTTGTTGTAAAACTTGCAGGATTTGGATAACAAAATACTTGCTAATGCCATCAAAGGTTAGTTTCGCACTTTATGATAATCATATGAAAAAACAGTTCAGTAAACACAGAATGATCAACCTGAAATGCCCCTGAAAGGCTCGTTTTCTTGGACTGGCCAGCCTGCTTTATTCCTTGGTGTATATGTTGAGTTTTCTTGATTGTCAAATCAATTTACTATAAACACAGTGCAGAAATGGCTGCTGTAGGTGTATTTTGCATAGTAATATTGTTTCTGTACTAACATTTTTTCTTTCTTACTGGCTTCAAATACTGTCGAAAAATCAGCCTTTAACCCTCTTCGGATAAGAGTCGGAGGTTCACTGCAAGATCAGGTTCTGTACAGAGTTGGATCTTCTGTCAAAAAATGCCCACATTTCAAAAAAATTGATGGGGGCATGTTTGGATTCTCACGAGGATGTCTTCACATGGATAGATGGGATAAAATTAACAAATTATTCAACCAAACAGGGTAAAAACACATTGAATTTCTCTACATGTAAACTACAGAAGTATGTACTTACATGCTCATTCACTTGTGCAGGGCTTTAGTGACATTTGGCGTAAATGCCTTGTTCGGGAGGAGAAGACCCATATCTGGCGATTCGCTTTGGAGTGGTGACTGGAACCCACAAAATGCTCGCGATTTGATGGAGTACACCGTCTCAAAAGGATACAAGATTGATTCATATGAATTTGGTAAAATACACTATAAAGCCAAGACTTATGGATTTCTTATGCCTATAATTTGTTATTAATTCTTAAATGGTAACTCGATTTTCACAAAGGAAATGAGCTATGTGGAACCGGTGTTTCTGCAAGAATACAGGCAGAACAATATGGCAAGGATGTAGTTGCACTCAAGAACCTGGTTGGGGAATTGTACCCGGACCCTGATACACGACCACAGGTGTTGGGTCCTGCCGGGTTTTATGATGAGAAATGGTTCAATAGATTCCTTCAGGCAACTGGACCAAATGTTGTCGATGGTTTAACTCACCACATCTACAATCTTGGTGCAGGTCAGTAGAATATATTTCCGCGCCAAACTGTGTATTGTTCTTATCTCATCTGAAATTGAGATCACGAAAGATTGTACTATTCTTGATATCTCCTTCATTATGTAGGTGTCGACTCAACCCTTATCAACAAGGTTCAAGATCCCTTCTTTCTTGATCAAATAGCACAGACATACAAAGACATTTCAAGAAGCATTCAGTTATTTGGACCATGGTCAGGAGCATGGGTTGGGGAAGCAGGTGGAGCTTATAACAGCGGAGGCAAAGACGTATCCCGTACTTTTGTCGATGGATTTTGGTCCGCAATTTTTCCTATTCTGCACCAATATGCATGATTACTTGATTAACCATAAGTTGATGAGTAAATTTCCCTAAACAGGTACTTGGATCAATTGGGCATGACATCAACTTTCAACCATAAGGTTTTCTGCAGACAGGCTTTCATAGGAGGAAACTATGCCATTCTAAACACAACAACATTCATGCCTAATCCAGATTACTATGGGTCAGCATCCAAGAATACCATTTTCTAAAGCTATCGAGCGTGTAAACCATACAATTTTAAGTTTATTTTATGTTATTTGATGTTAGCCCTTCTTTATTTTTATTTATTTTTGTCATATTATAGTGCACTCTTATTTCATCGTTTGATGGGAAAGAACGTACTCTCTGTCAATCATAATGGCTCCCCATACCTGCGTGCCTATTCTCATTGCTCCAAGAACTCAGTAAGTTAATCTTGATTTCAAATATTTGTGTGTAATTTGATGATCATCAGCTACTTCAATACAAGAATTCTATAATCTAATTTGGTTATATATATAGTTTCTAAGGTTCGTAAACTTTCCTCTTTCAGGATGGCATTGCTGTGCTTCTAATCAACATGTCCAATTCCACAACCTTCGAAATTTCTGTCGTAAATGACTTTAACTTCTACCCTGAAGATCGATTCAAGACAATGGATGATAGTGATGGTACAAAACAAAGGGAAGAGTATCATTTGACCCCAAAAGATGGTAACATACAAAGCGATGTTGTATTGCTAAATGGAACTCCATTGAAGCTCACAGAATCATCTGATATTCCTTCTATGAATCCAAAACTTGTTGATGCTTCATTACCTATTACCGTCGTGCCCGACTCTATTGTTTTTGCCACCCTGAAAGGTTTTCAAGCTCCAGCTTGTGCTTAGAAGCAGTATTGATTTATTTTGCTTCTCATGCTATTATACAATACACATTTATTCTTCAAATAAAGATGCTTACTTTTGGAATTTCATGAATATCTTGATTTATAGGAGAGAAAAGCTAAAAAGCTCCGATACTTGTAAATGCGTTTCATACCTGTATCCGATACGTATCCAAACTCTGATACTCTTCGATATCTTCCAATACACAATAGATACTTATTTGTTAATTATTTTATATATTTTTATATTTTTTAAAAATACGTATTTTTTATATATTTCATATTTTCGTGTGATTATCAATATGTATCCGTATTGGATATGTATTTTTTAAGTTATTTTGGTAACTATTTGAATATTAATAATATTTATTGAAAATACACAATTAGACTTTAAAATAAACAACTAGACGTTTTATTGAAAATAGTAACGCGATATTATTTAATATTTCAATACATGTGAAACTGTGTCGTAGTTGACAAATATATTTTTATTATTGAAAATAGATAATGACTAGTATTAAATAATACATGTAAAAATTTATTACATTAATTCTATTATTGAAAATGAATAATGATTTAATATATGTAAAATGGTGCTAATAAATTATACATTAATATTAGTCAAACTTCACTATATATTTAATATCTTCAAATAAATTTTATTTTAAATTATTAAAAAAACTATCCTATAAAATAGCAGATATAGTTTTAAAATGGGAAAATACTTTTAAATTTAAAATAGTAAAACTTATTTTATTCTCAACCGAGTGATAAATTATGTTGAATTTTTGTAATTAATTAACACATATCCGTGTTTCCTAATTTTTTTTAAAAAAATCGTATCGACGTATCTTTATCGTATTGTATCCAAATTACTTATCTGCATCTATGCTTCTTAGGAGGAAAGTAGCATGAATAACAGGAGTAGAAGCAATACGCGATGCCCGACTCTTCTAAAAGTAACACAAAATTTTATAGAAGATTACATATTTAAGAGAATAAGTTTAGCCTACTTCAAAAATAAAAAAACAACTTTGAAATTTCCAAAATCAGATTTTTATTAAAAATTTTTAAATTTTTATTTATGAAATAAATTAATTTATTATTAAATATTCAATTATAATATAATATAATTAACCCATCCCACCTTCACCACCACTACCGCTCCGGCAACTTTCCGGTGAACTTTTTCGGTGCCTTTTTCGATTCCGACAATTATTTATATTATTAATTAAATATTTATTTATATTATTAATTAAATATAATGATGTTACAATTATACAATTAATTGGTCACAGATTATTTTTGAGGTCACAAGTCAAAAAAATTATAGGTCACGATTTTTTATTGGATAATTGAATACCTATTCTTTGACATGACAATTGGCGGTCAATTGGTCGGCCGGATCGTGATGGAACTGTTCGCCGACGTCGTCCCTCGCACCGTCTAGAACTTCCGCGCTCTGTGCACTGGAGAGAAAGGCGTTGGAAAATCCGGCAAGCCACCTCACGACAAAGGCTCCGCTTTCCACCATGTGATCTTGAATTCATGTGCCAGGGAGGCGATTTTACTGCCGAAAATGGCATTGGTGGAGAGTCGATATATGGATCCAAGTTTGCCGATGAGAATTTCGCAAAGAAGCACACTGGTCCTAGTATTCTGTCCATGGCCAATGCTGGACCTGGAACCAACGGATCTCAATTTTTCATCTCAACTGCGAAAACAGAATGGCTTGATGGTAAACACGTTGTGTTTGGGCAAGTAGTTGAGGGAATCGATGTGGTAAAAGCCATTGAGAAAGTTGGATCTGGTTCTGGAAAGACTGCAAAGCCAGTGGTGGTTGCTTATTGTGGTCAACTACAATGGTGGCTTCTGATCTTTTCTTCTCCTTTTGGTTTTAGGATTTATAAGAGGTTGTTCTTGGTTGATTCTTTTGTTTTTCGTTAAATTGAAACTACCTCTGAAATAATTAGGTTTAATCATTTTACTCCATCGATCATCTTTACTGTCTATGCTTGATTGTTGATATTTTCAATTTAGATCCTTAATTTTGAGCAGAAAATGACTGCGTAGGATTCTGGGATTTTCACTCTCCTTCGTTACTGCTGCTACGCTTTATCAACCACTTGGATTTGGGAACACAAGAATACAATGTAAACTCGTGTCACTTTTTTATGCTTCTGTCACTTTTTTAAACAAACTTTAAAAAACAGTGACAAACTACTGGTGGTAGAGGTACAGCCGGTGGAAGTGCTGGTAGTGGAGATGGCTGCTGGTGGGTGGAATGGACTTGAGGTGGCAGAAGTATTGTGCAAACACAAACAATAAAGTAAAATATAAATGGCCAAACAAGCATTTAACTTTTTGAAATAGTAACTGTGTCACTTTTTTCTCCATTTTTCTGAATTTTTTTTCATTTTTTATTGTTTGTTACTTTTTAAAAATTTCTATCATTTTTTTGAATAACAAACGTAGGTTTTGATTAGTGTTTTGTCACTTTTTTAAGTATTTGTCATCTTTTTGAGCGTGTCACTTTTTTTGAATTATGTCACTTTTTTTGAGTTTATGTCAATTTTTTTTAAAAAGTAAAAAAGTGACAATTTTTAAGCTTGTGTGGGAGAGATTTTTGGAGGAAAAATTGATTTTGAATAGTGATATGATGCGAAATGTGTAGTTGAAAAAGAAGAAAAAATTATTGGTATGATAGAAAATATTATTTTATTGAAGAATATATGGTTGAAAATGAAAATTGATTTACTGTAGAAAAATTTAATTCCTCCCAAACAGGGTCATAAAAAAGTGACATTGTGTCACTTTTTTCATTTTACACAGTATTTTTTACTTCCCAAAAATCTTTCACATGATTTTTCAACACACCCAAAATTTTAAGGGATAATGCTTGGAGTACAGGAACAATCTTACAGCAACGTTACAGGATTTTAAAAACTGATTACGTGGCACTTTCCAAAAATAAAAAAACCAATTGACCGGCTGAAAATTAGGAAAGTGGGAAAGCGAGGGAAAACACTTCCATTACCTCCATTTTCAGCCCACAATAACTTTCTCCCACACTTTCACACCTCAGCCGTGCGAAAACCTGCTGTTCTTCATCCCGGCTACGAATCCGGCATACTTTCAGAAGATAAACAGAAATATTGACCGGCTGAAAATATTCATCCCTATTTTCAGGCTCTTCATCCCCATTTTCGGCTTGTAAAAGTAAA